GGGGGGGGGGGGGGGGGGGGGGGGGCGGAGTGAAATTGATTTGGGCCGAAAAAGAGACTCTTGTCTTCCCCGTGCCCATGTGCCCATGACATCTTTGAAGTTCTTTTCCTTGTCATCGGGTGAGGGTAATATAAGGGTAAAAGCTATGAATATCTGTCGACGCCAAAGCTAAGAAAAATCGTTCCGAGGTTCCCACGCAAGTCGATAATATATTCGGGAGAGCAAAAAACTTTTTATCTACACTGTTTCTGTCAGCTGATTACAGTGAAAGAAATATACTATCTACAACACCATTAAAGGAGAAAAACTGACCAAGTCGGCCATTACAAGCCTGAGCATACCCCAGACACCCGTATTTCTTGATTCGATCCCGATTCGACTTCACGTTACCTGATCACGATCAGACGAGTTCTGCATTCACCAGGTTATTCCCGAATCTGAACTCACTCAGATCGCATGTCACCTTCGAAAACGAGACACAAACGCCCGACGACGCGACGTCACGGATCACCGAATCCTGAAAGGATTCTCGCCTGAATTCGCTTCAGCGCAAATCTGAACCCGTCGCGAACATTCGAATGCGATTTCCTTGTAAAAAAAAATTCGCCTCACCAGGCCCAGACGGGTCGAGACGGTCCGGCGACGGGGAAACCCACGCTGAGGACGGTGGAGGATGGTGGAGGACGGTGGAGGACGGTTGAGGACGGTGGGGGACTGTCCTCGCTTCCTCGCTTATCCTTCCTTCCTTTCCCATGGGGAATGAAATCGTTCCGGCCCGGAAGCGGGAATGCCTATCACGGGGGAATGGGTCGATCCGCATTTCCCATTCTCTTTTTGTAAGGAAACGTTCTTTCGTCTCTCGGCGGGGATCCAGATTTCGTTCTTGAGTGCGGGAGGCCATGAAAAATAAAGTAAAAGGCCAGGCTATGGGAAATTCATCTTCATTCAACTTGTATGACTTCCAGGCGTTTCTTCCTCTCAGCCATTTGTCATATCCGCAGGGATCGCCAATCGATACTGCGATATGTCCGACAATTCCTTTGCACTTCGTATCCTCGAGATTTAAATATATATATATATATATATAGTTGACCGAAAGCTGGAGCAGGAAACTCTCAGCTTCCAAGGGAAAATCTCAGCTTTCCAGTGTGAAACTTGATTCACGATCAGCTTCCCTTTTCGATAGAAAGCGGAGCTGCAGGAATCCCCTGATCGCGATGCTGCACCGCAGAGACCGGAAATGCTCCGCAAGATTCATTCTGGTCCTTGGGAGGTTTTGGGCGATGATGAGATCCGGGTGTTACATGCATAAATGAGGATTTAAAGCCATTTTCAGGGGGCTATATCTTACGCATTTGGACGTCGTACTCGAACGTCGATGGCTGTTTAAAAAGTTCCAGAACGTCTGTGGGTTACATGCTGAATGGCAACACTGTCCGGCGCCTCTGGCGGACAGTGTTGCCAGAGGCTTTCTTTCGAGAAAGTTGGAGGATGGGACTCGCGAGTCTAAATGCATCGCAGGGCACGTTTCCCTCATCGATGGCCTTCGAAATGTTAAAATATCAAGCCGATCGAATGGAAGCATATTCGATTTGTGGGTCGAGCGACGTCGGGTCGAGACGTCAGCTTGTTCACGCGGCTGATATTTTTTTTTGCGAGTTGAGAAGATTCCGGCGAAATGCAGCGGCAGTTTCGCTTCAAGTCCCCCTGGAGGAGATTTCCTTGGGTTTTCTGATTTCCCGAGGGATGAGAAATCATTTGCAGCAACGAAATATATGAATGGAGAGGACGCGTTCATTCCTTTTCGTATCGACTGTGCCGTCTGAGAATTCCTGATGTAATATCTCTGGACACGCACCTCATCGCAAGTGAATGGATGGGAATAATCTCATGTTACAGTGAATCATGGGAATCAATATATTGAACGACATCAAATATTCCTGGTGGAAAGTGCAGAATCAGTAGCGTAGGCAGGGTTTCGCCAAAGGGGGGAGAGAGGATGCATTTCGACCTGAGTTGGGGGGGGGAGGGGGGGGCTAGAACCAAATCGCTTCAGCCCCCCCCCCCCCGCTGTGCTGAACACGCGAAATATTTTGATGTATTTTGATGCCTCGAGCAGATGTTTCAACAAGGTCGACCATTCATCAAAGTCACATAGGTCCAGAGTATTCACCCTGAGATAAAAATTTTACTGCTGAAAAACGCAGGCCAAAATGCTTTATGCCCAGCTTTTCTTATTTTCGAAATTTTCTGATTTCTTTCTTCATTCGGATTGATTCTGATTTCGGAATTTTCTGATGACTTTCATGAGACTGCAGAGTCCGAAAATTTTTCGATGCGCTTTCACTCATACATTTTACGTTAAATCGTCAAGCGAGAGACGATATGATTTGGGTGAAAGCAACGACCAGAACGCAGACTCGATGGGACGCGAAAAACAAAGCGGGTGAGAAGGTTAAAGCGTGTTATGACCGGCCCCGCTTTCTCTCGAATCGCCGATCGCCCGCGGCTTCGTCTCCTTCCTGCTTGAGGATGCCCTCGTTCCTCTCACTTCGTTGGGTCCACGTGCGGTATCCTCTCCCGGAGGGGGGGGGGGGGGGGGGGGGGGGGGGGGGAGGGGGAAAGGGGGGGGGGGGGGGGGGGGGGGGGGGGGGGGTGGAGTGAAAGGGGAAAGAACACTTGTGACAATTCTTTGAATGCTGTCAGGACGGTTTTGCAGTGGGTGAAAGAGATGGCACTCTAAAAAAAATGAGTAGAAGTCACGTTACGATGTCGTTGGGTAAAAAACGATACTGCCAATTAGCCGACAATTCCAACATTGTTAATGTGTGCCCATGAGGCAATGGTTCCAGACTTGGAAGCCCTGAATGTCTAACCTCGAATCGATTTTATGCTCTCAGAGGTTTCGAGAGACATCGGGCGAAGAATCGTCCAAGATGGCGACGGATAGGCTGCAAGGAATCGTGTCTCTTCGCAAGAAATACATTTTTCCCTGAAAATCTTGAACCTGAAATCCTCATCTCATACTAAATCAATATTTAAAAAATTAAGAACTTTTACGAATCGTAGTTGAACTTGGTGATGGATTACATTTCGGAACCTGGACAATAAAAATGAAGGCGATGAAAATTCTCAGGTGAAAGCGAAATCTACGATCTATATGAAATAAGTAGAATATAATATAAAAAAAAACCATCGCCCAACTGCAGACTGGACGAAATTATCTTTTTCTTATTGAGCTGATAAATGACGCAGTTTCCAGGATGCATACAAAATTATCTATAATTCGGTATTTTGTTTTCTCGTGCGACAAAGAACCACGAAAGGTCGTATCTACACGAAGTTCAAAAATGCAATAAAGAGATGGCGCTCGTGTACATCCGGCGGAGGATAAGCCCAAGGATAAAGAGGATAAGGCGTTGATCAACCGTCGCCATCTCTCTAATGGATTTTTTAATCTACTCGGCCTGCAGCGGGAAGCTTTTGATGTGTTTCAGAAGAGCGGTGGCATGAGAAGTTTATTTTTTATTTTTTATGCTTTGCGTGAAGAGATGCTCTTTTCGTGAAGCCGACGTTATCGGACGACTTTTTTTTTTATCATCGACAATAAGCGGACGACGTCCCATTTTAGCCGGCGGATCTTAATACTGCCAAGTCCCATTTCGCGCGCATTATCGGAAAACGCTCACGCCATGGCCGCAATTTGCCGTGAGGCAAATTTTTGCGATCTTTCGTAGCCTTGGCACACCTCAAGTCTCTCTCTCCTTCGCCGTACCACGCCCATAACACCGACAAGAACCATATACAATTTTACCAATGATTCGTTCTACAACAATACAGTAGCTACAGCATTTCTTAAGAAGAGACGTGAAACTGCGAGTCGGCACAAACTGGCAAGCGTAACTTTACCGTTTTAACCGGTTTCGAGAGTACGACTGCCCGAAATGTGTTAGGACGGAGAGGCACGAAAACGTTTAATATAAAAGGTTCTCGTGATGTCGGGTCTCTCGTCCGAAATGCATCCGAGTCACAATTGTTTTTAACAAATTCAAAAGCAAAATTGCAATCGTGCGTGGAAAAATTTTGATGAAAAATGGTGAACTTAGCTTTCATTCACTTTTTTTTTTAATATCTTGTTTTCGCCCGGATATTGCTGCCCGGACATTATGCGGAATTATATAATCGGATTCTTCTGGTATTTTTTTTTGTATTTTCTGTCTTGACCTCGCAAGCGCCGGTGGAAAAAGTATTGATTGATACTGAATCGAGGACTCGAGGCTGAACAGGCCGAGGCACTGGGATTTCTCATTTTCCGTTTTCCTTTCGTGACTTTACACGAATTCATCACATTTCAGTCTTTCTTCGCCGTTGAAATCGTCTCAAGGAAAGAAGAAAGAGAAAACTCGACCGAAAACGTAGCTCCTCACGACGACACACCTCGCGACGAACTGCGAGCCGAGAGACGAGCGGAGAAGGACATGGAGGAAAGCCGGTGGAAGCAGATTCCATGGAATCCTCTCGGGCCAAGGGGCCATCGTCCGTGCCCTCGGGGCAGGGGTAGGGACTCGAGACAGTCATGGCTGCTTCCTCCGCCGCTGCCTTCCCCACGTAAACACGTTCGCCTTCGCGTCTCTCGGTGACTTCTGAGTTGGCCTCAGGCTGCGAATGTCACGTGTGAGTTTGCTTTTGTGACGTTGCTCGAGCTTAGTCAGGCCTTGCAAGCGTTATTTTATTGCGGATAGGAACCAGACTAGGGTGAGAGTCTTGGAGTCAGAGTCTGCTTCTTGATCCGTCTCAGAGCGGGGTTTAGGTTTTGTAGGGACTGAGTCGACCGCTAAATATCCGGTCCTGATCGAGGAGCATGAGGCAGGAGAGAGATCACCCCTCTCCCCCTTACGTAACATACCATTTTATTGAGGATGCTTTGAAATTAGGAACAATTGAGACTCGACGAAGGGAAATGTCAGTCACTGGCCAAAAGAAACAAAGAAAACCCCCGCTCATGACGATTGGACTGCACCAAGGATGGCGCGCTGAATCAAATGACATGGAACACCAAACAAATTCACCTTGAAGTCTTAACAGGTCTCAGGTGCCCTTTGTGAGGTGCTTTGCATAGGAAACAAAAAGAAATTGAAATTCATATGTCACCAATAAGGAAATGACTGAACAGAGATCTAAATCTAGTGAATGACTAGTGTGCATGGTATTAGGGAGGACAATGATGAATCACATTACAGACAGGACTTGTACAACTCTTGCAAATGGAATGAAGACTTTAAAAAAGCCCCTTTCATAGAAAGAAGTGAACCATTGAGCCTATCCTTCCTCACTTCCTTTTATAAAATGTTGCTATGCAATGTTTGGGAACTTGCATGTTATCTGAGACATATGGGAGCAAAATGAAGTAAGTATCCCTTCAAAAAACAGAATTAAATGCAAAAGTGTTTCATTTGTAGATGTAATATGTCGGATAGGCATAGAGGTGGGAGTTTTATGTGTATGTTTTGCAAAATTGTTCAGTAAAGCATAGGCATTGGGTATTTTCATGACACCATGCACTGAAGCTTTCCTTGTCCACTTTCTTGAAATTATTGTGTTGATAGCTTTCTTAGGAGCCCCAGGTCTTCTGGTATATCTTAGGCCCATAGGCAAGGCCTGCCATAGTCCAGTATAATACTGGTTTCTTTCCTTTTTCATCCAGGAAGGGGACTGTCGTGGGGTCGACTGAGTGAGCCTGGGTCACAATGGCGTCCAAGTCCATCCGTGAGAATGTGCTCACCCCTTCTTTCCTCCTTTTTCTTTCATCTTTACTGTCAGGTGAGTGTCTTCAACTTAAGCTGTTTTAGTCAAAAGGGTCTGTGGGAAACCTTCATGGGTTCTAAACATTTATTAAGAAGCCCAGGGCTACTCATAGTCCTTCATTACATTTTAGCTACGAGGGTATTGGTAAGAATAAGCAGATAGCATGAATGGTATACCTGCCATAGCAAAGTTGCACTTATTGGCATTGCAGGAGGAGCCAGGCCTGTTGAGATTTAAAAAGTATTGTGGGTTGAGCCATAAATTGCATTTTTTATGGGTTTATGCTGCTTATGGTATTTTCTGAGAAGCAATGCCTAATTATTCCTCTATTTTCTTGTCCTGTGTCCACAAAGTTTCTTTTGTGAACTCATAATGAATGTGTCAATGCACCTGAATTGAAGGTGGTATTCTATTTCTAAAAATGATGAGAGCATGTGAGGAAGCCATTCCTCATCTCTCTTTGTCATTTCCCTCTGCCCCTAGAGGAAACTTAATTTACCCTTTCTCCATTAATTCTCATCTTCTTTCTCCCAATTCCTTTCAAATAAACTCCTGCAGGCACATGCCTTCCTTGATGAGGAGCACTTATTAAATTTGACGTTCACATTGATCAAGTAAGAGCTGTAAGATGAGGCAGATACCATTTTGAGAGATACACTATCTTATTAAAAGCTGTGTCCCACCCATGAGAATATAAAATATAGCAATTGCCTCATATGTCAGAAGTGTTGGGTACCTTTTGGCATGTGCAATAGCTTGAACCCAACCCATATGTGGGATGCCACCTTTTTGTCAAAGGTCTTCTATCACACTGTGATACTATACACTGTATAATGAGACAGATCTAGAAGCATTGTAGTTGATTGGCTGGACTCTCCTGCAAATGAAACCCAACTCCAATGCCTCAACTACCTGGGATTCACATGGAAACTGAAGCCATAGTAATATTGCACCATTTCAACCATCGTTTTCATGCCTGGGCCTTGACTTCCATTAATATAGTGCATATACATTCCTTTCTTTTAGGTAAGTGTTCTTGAACCTCATCTCTACACTCCCTATCAAGTTTCTGTCTTTCCCTTACCTTTTAATTTCAGACCCAAGACTTCATACTGTTATCTCTCTTGCTATAGTCATGCTTTCTTCACTTTGGCTGTTTGCCTAGCCTGAAGTCATGGCAAATTCAAGCAGTATTCAGCATTTAGTAATTTTATTTCTTTTACAGAATGTTCATGGCCAGTGGCCAACAAAGTCTCAACAGCAGCAAACCAGCAACAATTTGATTCTTAGCATTTTATTCAAAAGCCTTCAGTATGTAGTTTTTTGGTAGACTAAGGCACATTTTATATGTAGAAGAAAACACAGTGAGCAATATTTGCATCTTCTTATTTGCAAGAGAAACATGTTGTATGCAACAATATTTTGAAACTTTGCAAAGGAAAAATCTAGTGTTTTGTCATACATACTGGCTCAGGGAAAGTTCATGCATTCACCTCTTAGGCCAATTTGTTCTCAAGTGTTCCAGTGAAGAAGCATGCAAGCAAATGAGCTTGATGAGCTCAAACGAGTTTTCCTTTCAAGCAAGCATGGGCCATGTAGATTAATAGATTCTGTCTAGGGCTCAATTGTTGACTAAGACTGTTGTACTGACCCTGATTAAAGGGATATTGCAAAAAGGCAATTCATGACATTCATTTATCAAGAAAAACAGCACAAATTGCATGCGAGTACCTGAATACCCGAAATGCTACTTTGGGATGAATCCAGTGATTGAATACTGTGCCTCTGTTGTCTGGAATAGCTGTTTTCTCTGCTCTCAGCCTATCACTTGCATCTTTTTAAGGGTCACGTCAACCCAAAAGATTCCATTCCCTTGCCTTCTTTCCTTCCTTTGAGAAACTGGAAGGATTTACCTTGGTGGAGAGGAATCCAAGATGTGTTTTTTTAAATTCTATATTCAAAGGTTTTCAAGCTCACTCCACAGATGTATGAAGCCACTAGCCTTTTCTTAAACCAAACCATTTCGTTATTGTGCCTTTATTGATTGTTTAACCCATACCAATACTAAGTCTCTGATGGCAATTTTACGAGCTTGTTTATGAGAGTTTGATCGACGAAAATTGATTGGGAAGCATGATTCAATGTGATGCATGCTAAGCCTCTCAGTTGGCATTTTTTGGAGAAAAGGTCACCATCTTGTTTGACCAGTGGAAATTTTTTTTTTCTCAAACCCATGCACTTTCTGGAAAGCTAGGAGTCTGTGCTTTCGAATAATGTTAGTTTCACTTTAGCCCCTTTTACAATTTCTTAACTCATTCGCTCCCAGTCGGTTTTGGGTGGTAACTTTCTCCCTATGCCTGCCATTTTCCTGTTCGGAGCCGTTTTTCAAGTTACTGCTCAAAAATCACTGCGTTTGAGCACCATGCATTCGAATTATTGACAATTGAGTTGAAGGAGGCGTGAAGACGTCTATCGACTTCTTTGGCAGTGATTGTGTGTATGACAAACCCCTGGGTTGCCCAACAAATTCTCCAGCTTCATGTGGCCGCAGACGTTACATGCAACGTATGCAGGTGGTTCCACAAAACATTTCCGTTAAACCGGTTGTTCAGAGCCCAGGTTAACAGCTATTTTTCCCGCAACATATCAAACGAGTGAATGTGTCTGCGCATTTCTGGAAGGACGGGAGGGGGGAAAGGAAGTGAAGAAACAGCCAGGTGCATGCTGACGCATTCGCTCATTTGACATCGTGCGGAACTAAAGGTCTTTATTGGCTTCATAAAGAACGATTTCGTTTAAATGTTCACGAAAATATCAACATATGTTGGATGTATGACCGTTTAGAATTCCTCCCGTTACTTCGTCTCGAGTCATGTAAATTTAGGAATGGGCCAGCCTGGTATAACCTTTGGAGAAAGAATTTAGGTTGAAAAAAACCTTACAGGGAATTAATAAGAATCTAATAACGTTACTAAGCGCACATTCAGGCACAGTCTTTGGTTAGAGCTTTATAAAATGTCTCACATGGTCAAAGGTTGTCAAATATGTCAATTTTTAAAAGAATCAGATAATGGTAATCTTTAAATTACTGTTATGGAAAGACAAGGAAAAACATGTGGGACTTATTGGAGCAAGCTGCAAATTGAAGAATGCGTAGGTCTTACACAGTTTTACAAATACCCTGACTTAGGCGGTCCCAAATTTCCCACGAGGAAAAATTTTAGTGGCAAAAATTTACAAATTTGGCAGACATCAAAATGTTTTTTTTTTTTTGTAAAAGCAAACGCTTTCGCTGCCATGTCTGTTATATATGTGTGTGTGTGTGTGTGTGTGTGCGTCAGCATTATTTCCTTCAATGCCAGCGAAAGTGCAGCATACGTATATAAAATTAATCTGCGGATTTCAAATTTTTGCCGTAGAAGTATGTTCATTAGACTCGGTTTGAAATTTGTTGGGGAAGCTGCAGGGAAAGTTAACGACTTCCATGTTGTGGGCTTCAATATCAGTCGTTTCATTGACCGTTAATGGACGGTTAGACGGTTGACTGAGGTCCAGAGAAAACTACCATTGAGGGAAAAAAATTCTGAAGAATTCTGATTGAAAAATTCTGATTTCCGGGGAGGGATCCATGTTGTCCCTGATGTCAGTCATACGTTTCCCACAAATGGGGACCCGTGTCGTAAGAGCGAGGAAGGATATCCTCTTTCCGGACGAGTCCTTTAGGGTCCAAATGAGACTCTGAGAGTGTGACAGGACGTAACCGGATCTTACGTAAATAAACGGGCAACACCAAGAGAGCGAGAAATCAATGGCAGCCCGATTTGGGGTTGGGGGACTGAGTGTCATCCGGCGCACATTGCTTTGTCAATTTGGAGCGATAGGGAGGGTGCGAAAAAATGCAACAAGAGAACAATTTCAGAGGGCAGAGCGGCTGCGGAGGTGAAGAGGATCGATGACGGCAGACCTAGATGAACAAACCACGCAATGCCGGAGGTGGGGGAGGGGCATGTCATGACTGACATGACACTTTTGTTTCTTCTGGAATGATGGAGCGATTCGGGTTTTTATCAGGTGCGATTAAATCGTTCATGCCAGACTGGGATTTCAATGAAGTCGAAAACAAGCTATGCCCAGTTTGTGCGATGGGAGTTTTCTGCCAATCACGAATCAGGAGGGATCGAGAATGAAACCCCGTTCGAACGGGTTTCATTCGTCCTAAGGAGTGGGAAAATACGAAGCAAAGTTATAAGCGGGAGTCAGAATTTTCCATGTTTTTTCTTCTCAATGGAACATGCCCATATAAAAAAAGGGGGAGGAGGCCGCCGGGAGATACGTAGAGAAAAAAAGGACAGCACGTGCTACTTTCGCCTTTTTTTGCGTCTTCTGTCGTAGTCGGAATAAATTCCCTTTCCCACGCCTGGGAGATCCATGAATTATTTTCTGCCGGAAGCATGGATGGGGGAGGCACCACTGAGGTTAATCGAATACTGTTGTGCTTCATGCAAAATTAGGTGGTTCTGCTTCCTTTTAATATTTTATGGGTGCGTGCATACTTTAGCTCGATGATTCAGTTCAGTGATGGTTCGTGCCAATGTGACCCAAAATGCTGAATTCCCGGCACTTATATTTAACAAACAAACATATTTTCATCAGGTTTTTCTGTCGTGTCGATTTTTTACATTATAAATTGAGGAAATTGACCTCAAGTTTTGTGACTGTCGATCAAGGTATGGCTACTTCACTGCGGTTTGGCACCGAGGACCGAGTGGATGGTGTTTCAGAGGATGGTGTTTTATCATGATTCTTCCTTCATATAAACTGTCAGTTTCGTTTGAAGAGGTTGGGTGTTTAAATTATGATGTTGTGAATGCTGCGGTAGCGATTGAAAGCGTACAGAGGTAATTCATGTGGCATAAGCCTATGTGGAGGCTAGCTTCATGATTGACCCCTATTGCACATCTTGTTCAAAGAAAGAACTGTCCTTGAAGCATTTCATTCTGGCGCTCTTTGGTTCACCATTCGTTCTGATGTGTTTTCATTTTAGGTGCCACGGGCAACCAAGCCCCAATTTTCATAAATGATATGAATCAACATGTGATCTCGGAGAATACTCCACCTGGAACCTCAGTATATCAGCTGTCTGGTGAGGACCCCGAAGGATCACCGGTCAAGTACGGTATCCTCGGAACAGATAAGCTCACTGTCAATCCATCAACTGGGGATGTTATCATTGCGAAGCCTTTAGATAGAGAGGTGAGCAAACCAGCTCTAGTTCATGACTGCAATTTTTTCAATGACATTCTGAGTAATCATGGTCCTGTTCACATTGGTATTCTTGCAGGAGAGTGACATCTTGAGGCCGACTGTTACACTGGAAGACCAAGTTCTTGGCAAGAATCAGGATAATAATTTGGTTCAAGTTCCTATATCTATCATAATTCTGGATGAGAATGACAACCCACCCATTTTTGATGGTGTAGGTTCTTCTTGAGCTGTTATGACTTATGTTTTTCTTTTTCTTTAGTCTCCTGTTTAATAGAGCTGCTGCTTTTTCTCCCTTGAAAGATGCCATTTGAGGTTACTGTGAAAGAAGATGCCAAAATTGGGACATCATTGCTGAACATAGTCATCTCAGATACTGACCTAGTTGGAGATATTCTGAGTCTTCATTGTAAGGTGAGATATTCTACCTTTTTACTAGTACTTCAAGATCAATCCAGTGCTGCAAAAGTAATCTTGATGGTTAATTTTCTTCTGAAAAAATGATGTAGTTCTTATTGCTGTTGCAACTGCTTTAGTAATATGAAAGGTTCAACAGTTTTTGGATCCATAATGCTGCTGTCACCATGTACACATAGCATATCTGTATCATGTGATATAGTTGGTAGTTTGTTTTCTGAGATCTTCCCATTGTGTCCCTTGAAGGAAAGAGAAACTTGTCAGAGTAGAAGCTCTAGTTGAGAAATTGCCCTTTGCCCGCATGCACATGCAGATAATAGTAGATTGCTGTTAATGGTGTGTGAAATCAATCCAAGAAAGTGTAATATGAGGTGCATCTTTGGAATTTCTTTGCTTCATCTTCCAGGGTGCATCTTGTGACACATTTGATTTGAAGACCCAGGAGTCCTCATCTCAGACGTACAATGGAACCTTGGTTCTGAAGGAAAATCTCAACTACCTCAAACATCCAGTGCATCAGCTTCGAGTTATTGCATCTGTAAGTATTACAGGCAGAGTTTGGCATTAAGGCTGGTTTTTGTTTTCTTGCAACTGTTGAACGAAGTGAAAAGCCAAGGAACATAGATCTTGAGTTTTGATGTTATTTGATGGCTTTGAAGTAGGACTCTTTTGCATGTAGGTTTCAAGGACACATTTTTTTGCATTCTGCAAATTGTCATTGCTGTGAATGTTCAAATTTATTCAAGTGACTGGAAATTCACCTCTTACAAGATATTTTTAATATACCTAATTACCTGCCAATATCTGGTGTCTGGCCTATCCACCCACTTGATAGGATATCTGATTCAGCTAGATTGGGAGTAGAATATCTGCCAAAGGAAGGGGTAGAACAGAAATGAGTGGTCATCTTGTCAGGTGAAAGAAAAAGTAAGGCAGGAATTAGTGGGAAGGGAGTGGTTGCCTTTCCTTGTGGAATCATTTTTGTTCAGGATTTTGTTGACTGAACCAAATTGTTCCATAAGTGGCTTCCATTTTTATCTTCTGAAGAAAGCCCAGTTCATCCAAAGTGAGAAATAAATGAGGGTAACGAAAAATTATGGAGATTTCATGCTCAGGAAGCTTTTTTTTTACAAGTTTCTCATGGATCTTTGAAAGTGTCTGCTTCATCTGATCTCCAAACATGGGATTTCCATATTTTAAATTGAACTTGGACTCCAACATAACTGGACTTGGATAATTTTCATTGTGCCCAGATGCTTCCCTTTATGATGAGGTTGCCTGTGCAGAGAAGTCATAGATGACTTGCTTGCATGATGATCTGGCTTGGGTTCTAATTCTTGCTTTTCCAATTGCCACTGTATATCCTCAGACCAAAGCTTCATCTAGTACTTTACTATTGCATATAACATAGGTACTGCTGATTTTTTTCTTTCATATCTTTCAATCATAGTTTTTCTCCATACTTTTTTTTTAAAAGCCTTCATCTTCATTCTGCCTTGGAATGGCAAAATACTGCTTCAGTAATCTCTCTTTTGTTTCTTCTTTAACGCCATGAAACCTATGAACTGGCTGGTTCCATTTGCCTTCTCTACTTCTCCCCCTCCTGATTACTTTCCTTGTTATGGCTGATAATTGTTCTGCTCCCTCCTACTGGAACCACTAACCATTCTTCCTGCCCACACTCTACCTTTCTCTTAATCTAGAATGGAGGAATCCTTGGCTAACATCTGTCATCGCCTGCTCCATTTGTAAGAAACAGTATGTTGAATCAGTTGTTACCACTTGCAATCAAAGATTTGCTGACACTCTGATCTGATATTCATAATAGTGACACCCCTATCTTGCCAGTCCTGTTCTCACCATAGTTCTATATTGTCAGCCACAATCTCAGTTACAAACTGTCTCCCAACTCAAAGATAATTGACTTAAGATCAAAGGAGCTTGCTGTAACCAACTTTCTCAAAATGTTCCACCCTCATAGATTAAGCATGAAAATACCTCAATACTCTTCTTTACTTTTGGGAGGATGTCCCTGTGTTCCATGTGTTTCATGACTGCCTGAGGGCACTTGATAATGCTGAACAACTTGTTAATTGTTGTGCTTAGGAGAATATCATGAATTTCATTGCTGGTGATATGATTTTTGTATGGTGATATGCTGGTCTATGATTTATGGTTTAAACCAAAAAATTGTGCAAAATGAAGTTGATAGGATTGTGTTGACAATCAAAAAGAATTAAGTTATGTGATGCTTTTTTACCATTTGCAAGAAGCTAAGGGTGTGGGTGAGGATGCCTATAAGGCATTTGAAGAGGAAGAGATATGAAAGGGATGTGCTCCCTTTCTTCTTGCACTGTTTAATAGTGCATGTATACAATTCTGTCAGATATTACCCTTGAGTTTTCTGTGCACTGTGGTTTGTCTTTGGTAACTTCCATTTGATTTAATGTTGTTAGGATGGAGTGCACAATGTGAGCACAGGCATTTTGGTCCAAGTGGAGGATGTCCCGAATTCACCTCCATTATTCCGAGGCTCCCTAGGAGGCCTTGTAAAGGAAGATGTTCTGCCTGGGACGTTGGTACTCACTGTGAAAGCTGTGGATGGAGATCCTGGCTCTCCCAGGCCAATTCACTATGAACTCCTGGATTCTGCATCAAATCATTTCCTCATTGATCCTGAGACTGGTGAACTGAGAACAGCTAAGCCATTGGACAGAGAGAAGCTGGCTCCTAAGCTAGGCATCATTCATCTTCCTGTCGCTGTAAGTCTTGCTTGTGAAGGAGGTGCTCATTTTATCTGTTGCCAATATTTGCAAATTCCCTCAAGGGAATTGTTATTCATAGTTATGATGCATTAATGTCACTAGAAATGAATTTGGAAAGGGCTTTTTGGCACAAAATTGGATTGCTATATGTGAATATGCTAGATACACATGGTAGGGTGCCCAGAAATTTGACATGACCGAGCACTGTTTGGTGACTGGCTGGCTGTAAGTGACAGGCGTGAATAGACAAGTTCATGCTTCTATATTTTCCAAATCAAATTCTTGAAATTTTGTATATTAGAACAACAAAATAGTTGACTGACACAAAACAGTTGATATTTTTCAATTATAGTGCAGAGAGGGGCAGGGAATGCTTCCTTGATTCAGGGCTCAGACAATGAGCCTGATTATAGTCTCTCAAGCTAGGATACTCCTTTAGGCTTCTATAGGAGTCCTTAGGGACACCTAATGTGTTACCAATGACTAGAACTACCTGTGCTGTTTTTTTCCTGCCTCTGCATTTTCTAGAAGAGGTATATATAGTACTATGTGTGCTACTGTCATACTGGGTTGGCTGCAGGAGCGTTTCTTTTCTGATGAGCTTGGCAGATTTTTTTCACTTTTGTAAAGAATGCTTGTAGAGTTCTCATCCATCCTATAGAAGTGGAGGAAAAGCCAAGAAGCCCAGCCTACCTCATGGCAATCCTGAAATACTGTATATACAGGTTGTAAAGATTCTGGCACCAAGTCATTAAAAAATCTGTACTTTACTTTTAAAAAAATTATTGAATTTGTGAATATGGCTTTTAGGACAAGTAATATTAAAGCTGAATGTTCAGATATTAATATATAAACTATCGTTTCCACAGGTTCAGTAACTCCACTTGGAACTTCTGAATTTGAATGTGATGGTATTCCACATGTCTTGTATGGATTCAATGAGTTCCACTCAGTTGAGGATTTATGAAAATGGTGCCCTGGAGAGCGTTGCTGGAAAACATTTTAGAAATATTTTCAGAGAGGAACTTATTAAACATGATCAGTAAATATGTGATGTCATTATTTACCACAAGTTGTTCACATTCATGGAAAGCAGTCCCTGTTTGTTATGTATTTGACCCCTATCTCAGTTAACATTTGTTTTTGTTTCTTTTCCAGGCACAGGAAGTAGTACATGGAATCCCTGTGCGGTCACTTCTAACAGAAACGGTTGCTAATGTGACCATCACGATAGAAGATGTAAATGATGAGCCCCCAACATTCTCGCAAAGAGAATATGTAGCTGCTATTCCAGAGAATGCTCCTGTTGGAACTCCCCTCTCTGGCCTGTTCCTTGCTGTCTCTGATCCTGATGTTGTATGTGTCCAAGCTTGTTCTGTCATTTTTTTTGTGGGAAGGGGTAATATCAATATTTTATATCTTTACCTATCTAGGATACTTTACTCACTGGAACATGTATTTTACTTCCTCATTTGTTGATTACAGAGGAATAGGCTCTGTATTTTAAGTAGGAGGATATACCCATCATGATATATGTCTTCCTTCATCATCTTTCAGGGTCAGCACAGTCGGTTTTTGCTGGATTTGGAAGATCCATCAGGGCTTTTCACCTTGGAACCACTAACAGTAGATGGATCAGCCTCTCTTAGCATTCGTCTTGCAAAAGGAGAACTTGACTATGAGAATCCCAATCAGAGGAAGTTCATTCTGGTGGTGAGTTCCTGTCAGTGTTTCACTTTGAGCAGCATTGGCTTTTCCAGCATCAAGGGTGGAGGGCTATGCCTGTTTCTTGGTTAAAAAAAAAATTTTTAATCTCATTTTGGTGTTCAATGAAGCAAAATTTATTTTTTGCCTTGCTCTGACTTATCATACTCAGTTGCTAATGTAAGGGAAAAATCAAATGTGGTAAGAGCTGTTTGAGGGAAGGGAAGGGGAGTTTGATTTTTTATGCAGCCATTACTAGTGTCAATTAGCCTTGTTATTTTTTCCTCCTAGGTGAAAGCCAGAGAAGACTCAACAGCAGAGAGCCTTTCTTCAACTGCCACTGTCACTGTCAACACATTAGATGTGAATGACAACAGGCCGCAGTTTGGGAAGGAAATGTACATGTTCACCATATCTGAGATGGCCATCCCAGGTTCGCGAGTAGCTAGCATTGCTGCCCACGATCGTGACTCTGGCATGTATGGAACACCTGGATTGCGGTATGCCATATTCGGAGAGGGGGCTGAAAGGTCAGTTGAATGATGCAATCATTACTTATTTCCTATTGAATTTCATTGCTTATTTTGTCATGCATTTAGATTTTCAGTGAACGAAAAGTCTGGGGAGGTGTATGTTCGAGCCTGTGACACTCCAGGCAAACATCCTTGTCTGGATTTTGAAACCAAGCCCATCTACTACTTCTCATTCCAGGTCAGGAGTCTAACCTTTTCATGCATGATCTGTATCTTATGTCCCTTGAAGTGAAGGAGCCATCATATTCCCTTGACAGTGTGGCATCATACTAGATTTCTCAGTCCTTGAGCCATCCAAAATGTAATTTTTACTGTATCACTAAATTGTTTCTTTGTCTGCTGATTTTAGGCAACAGATGCAGAAGGCCATGGACAGAGTAATGTCGTACCCTTGAAGATCTCACTTGCTGACAGCAATGACAATCCACCTGCATTTGAGAAAGCTCTCTTTCGGGCATTCATAGAAGAAGGCTCTACAGAATTTCACCCTCCACTATTCATTCGAGCAAGGGACCCTGATGCTAACTCAGACATCAAGTACTCCTTTGTTGAAGAATCACAACTTTTCTCTCTTGACAAGAACACTGGGGAAATTCGTGTTAGTAACTCTACTGGGCTGTTCCTCTCAGAAAATGAAGACTTCACTATCAACTTGGGCATACAGGTGAGGCATCTATGGTTTCAGCTACCTTTTCCCTGCCAAAGTTGCAGTATTCCCTGTTGCTTATATTGAGGAATTGCATCTAGTTTGCTATGTCTTCTTCAGTGCCTTTGTCTAGAGCAGGCGTTGGTGGTGACTTTTATGGCACAACTTATTGGTCTTGCTGATCATAATTGCAGTTAAAACCCATTGTGTTCTGCCACCTTTTCCTTCTCTATTGATAACTGGTCCTAGTGTGAACATTACCTGATTAGGTTAAGGGCAGATTGGATTGGTTCTTGAAGTCCTGGATGAACCTTTTGTATAACTACTGCAAGGAATGTGCAACAGCTATACTAGAGTAAATCCATGCTCTTTTTTTGCATCCTTTCCTTGCAAGGTTCCTTGGTGTTGGCAGGTTTTACCATATGTTCTCACTCTGCTCCCCAGGATTGCATGCAGATGTGGTTATTTATTTATTTCTCTCTTCTCCCTTTCTTCAATCTAACAAGTTGGTAAGGCTCACTGCTTAAGGCTGCATTTGAGGATGTCTTTGGTTTAGTGTGAATGCAAAAGAACTTATTTACAGGTTAGCATTAGACCTAAAGTCTATGATATAGTATGCATTTCTTGTGGATTTTTTGAGAATGAAAAACCAAGTGATAGCTTATCTATTGTGACAGGCAACGGATGGGAAGTTTACTGCCATGACTCAGGCCAACATTCAAGTGAAAGATGTCAATAATCATGCACCTATCTTCTTCAAACCAACCTACTTGGAGACAATTCCAGAAAAGAGTCCTAAGGGTGAGAGATATAGGCCTCTTGTGGAGACATTAATTTCCATTCCATGGATTCTAACCCTGTGTCATCAACAGGCACAGTCATAGACATAGTGAGAGCAAGTGATGGTGACAGGGGGAGGAATGCAGAGATCACCTATCACATCCACAAGGGAGCATATGGAGACTTCAAAATCAATTCACAATCTGGAGAAGTGATACTGGCAACTGATCAACTAGAGTATGATCGTAGGGCAACCTATGAACTCCTCATTCTGGCTGTTGATTCTGGTAAGCACTTTGCAAAATCTTTCAAGTTACATGCATGATATGCTTTTCTGTTCTTTTTTCTGTAACTCTTAGCTGATTTTACTAAACAGCCTGCCTGTACGATTTATAGAGGTGCAGTGATATTGTTTGCGATTGATTGCCAATGGCAAAAGGCACTGACTGCATTATCTTATTGGATGGCATGAGATCTGAAAGCAGACAATCTCCTGCTAGAAATGCAATGCAGGTTTAGATTACTAAACTGATTCTAAAATGTCTGGTGTTTATTGCCTAATCTTAAGAGCAGTCTACCAGGTATTATATGGAGGATGGTGGGGTAGACTGAGTTACTTCTCTCCTGTTCATAGATCTTTTTTTTGATGGGTAAAAAATGTACAAGGCAAAGACATTGTCTTGTTCAATTTCAGGTGGTGCATTCTTTTTTCTTGTTATTGTTTCAATTTAAATTCTAGTCATGAACAGAAGTGAGAGATTTAAAATTTCATATGATAGAGGTGAAAAGGGATATTTCATGGTGAAGGCAAAGTTGTTTTAAACCATAGTGAACATGACATAGCATAGTGGACATGAAAATAGCATGAGTATAGAGCACCTTATGGGAGCTTTTCTTTCTTTGTCAAAAGTTGTGTAATTTAAACCATTTCCCTAATTACTTATTGATCTGTTATGTTGTGCAATTCTGTTCTGTCTCATGGAATTAGAAGTAATAATGTGACTTATATTTTGTGTTGATTAATATGCAGGAACCCCTGCACTGACAGGAACAGCTACAATGACTGTGAATGTCGTGAACAGGAATGATAAACCTCCCAACATTCACCCAAGGATACAGAGAATCAGCATCTCGGAGAATGCCTCCGTTGGTGAGTCTTATGCAGGGTGAGACATTGGTGAAGATTTAAACTCATATATCTTCATGTTGCATCTTTTCTATGCTGCATAGGTGATGTCATACATAGGATCAAAGCAACAGATTCAGATGCCACAGACGAAGGTGCTCTTAGATTCATGGTAGCAGAACCAATCACTGCTCTTGATACACGTGGTCAGCCCATTCAAGGTCGTGACACTTTCAAAGTAGGTCCATTTTTCATTTTTCATTTCCCATTTTCTATATTGTTGATACATTCTAATGCAAGTGCTTTCTTGCCATAGAAATTTTTTGCTCTTGACGAAAAGAGTGGGGAAGTGAGTGTGAGAATGCCTCTTGATCGAAACATGGGGTCTGTCATCAACATTCCTTTCATTGTTGCTGACTCCTCTGCTGATGTCCCTCAAACAGCTCGTGGTGAGAACCTTTTTCACTTTGTGCCCCTTGTAGATAGTGTCAAGGCTTTGATGGAGTGACTACGAGGTGCAGTCAGAAAGTCCGTACCACACACTTCTAGCATATATTTCTGGAATTGGTTGGAATAGATTATGGTTGGACAAGGTATTATGATCAGTTGTGAGTCAGACAGCATGTTGTGAACGTTTATGGCATTCTTGTTTGTGTGCAGCATTGGTTTTGCAACAGTTACCCCCACTGTCCCTGAGCAATGGAGTTCGAGGAGGAAGAACTGTGTTCAAATGTGTGTGATCCGTCAGGCCCCTTCCAATGAGAAAGTTCTTTATGCTATTTTTCTGGACAAACAGGGTTTAGTTCTACCTTATGTAGTTCCTAAAGGTGCAACCAATGATGGAAGCTACTACAAACATGTCTTACAAACTGAGCTTTTACCAGCAGTAAAAAAAAATTGCATCCATTGAAGGCCAATGACTGGCTCATTCTTCACCTGGACAATGCACCACCATGCAAGGGAGGTGTTGTAAGGGAGGTGTTTTTAGAAAATGGTATCAAGGCCTTGCTCCATCCCCTGTACTCACCGTACCTGGCACCCAACTACTTTTGGATGTCCTCAGAACTCAAGGATTCGTTACAGAGTAAGACTCCCGACAAGCCTGTGGTACTGCAGTTTACCAGTGGTTTAATCATACACCTGAGGAAGCATTTGCCAAGTTCTTCAGTGACTGGCAACGAAGGTGGAAACTGTATATAGGTAAAGCAGGTGATTATGTTAAGAAGTGACTGCAGTTTCTATTCAGAACTCCTGACTATTAATGAGAAATAGCTCGACGGTATGGACTATCTGACTGCACCTTGTATACCCCAATCAATGGGCTCAGAGAACAGAGAAAAGAGACATATCATGCTAAAAGAAAAGGAAGTCCAATTGTGACAATGATTAATTTTATATTTTTTATTACCTTGGTTTTTGTATTGGGAAATTTTACTTTCAGAAAGATGCACTTATACAAGAGAACTAAACTTTCGTTTAGCAAGTTTATTCTATTATCTTCTGCTGGATGGTTGCTTTGAATGTTATATTCCTCAGTTTCTGGACACTCTACTGTGCAAGCTCTACTGTGCTGATTGAAGGAAGGATGGGTGCCTACAAATTTTTTTACCCAAAAATTATCTGCCATAAATGAGACCATTGTTGCCTTGGTACATTTTTGAGCCTTAGTTGATTGTGTTCTTATAATACCATTTAAGGCATATTCTACACATTGCTGAATGTCACCATAAATGCATTCATGTTATTTCAGAATGACATAAAAGCCAGATCCATTACCATTATCCTTTTTTTCCATTCCCATTATACAAGATGGTACAAGGGACTTTCTATTTTCAGTGAGATACAAGGCCTTTTTTACACTATCTGTTATGAGTTCATTGCATAGTATAACAATGATCTGTCATTGGTATGTTAAAAATTCCTGCCCTTCTATAATTTGGGAAGTAGTGGCCTATATGATGCCATTTTATTAGCACCATGTAATGATGATATTCATATGAACTAATTAATGGTATTTTTATTGGTTTATCTGCTCCCTTCAGATGAACCTCCAAAAAGATGGATAATGACGTAATGCATTTTCTCAAGTAAGTATGGGTACTGAAGTATACAGGGTGTTCTTATTTAAATGCAGCAGGGAAAATTTTGCCACCTGTGTGGAATTCAGCGCTTGCCTTACAGCTCACTGGGTTGCATATATGGAAGGATGTATATTATCACTGGTGTGTTTCCTGGCAGATATACAACCCAGTGGGCCTCATAGCATTCACTGCTCTTATGATTCCTCATGTTATAGGAAAATATTCTCTATATTGCATTTAAATACAAACACCCAGTATGTTATTGAATCAGGCTGTTTTTTCAACTCAGTGGTATGATATGAAGTCATTGTCCTGCGTACCAGGTATACCAAGTTTGAGATTGAAGTCCATGACTTTTATCAGCTATGGCACCCAACATCATTCCACATGCTTGTGGCATGTGCAGCAACTTTGTTGGGCTGTTTTCTAGTTGCCCTTATACTCCTGTAATATTACAAAATATTTTATTTTAAGTTCCATTATAATCGTATGAATAAGTGCTAAGCCATAGCTCTCATGAGTCAGGAATGTTCACTCCTTTTGATGCCAGAACTATTCTAGTGATTCCTAATTAGTAACCACCTGATATGTTTACCATGGTAATGTGGTATAGCTTGTAAAAGTGCATGTGCATGTGTGTAAGAAGAATGGTAGTGGCACAATTTGTTATTATTTTTAATTTTGGTTTTTATTTTTTTTTAGAAGAGTTCCACCTTGATCTTTCATCAGAAGCTTGATAGAAAGCGTGGAATGTCTCCAATTGGATTAGTAAGTACTTCATGAACCAAAGAATAAAAAATGTCTTCATATTCTGTATGGAACAGGGGAATTGGTGATTACTATCCTGGACATCAATGACTTCCCTCCTCAATTTGCCTCACCATGGAGTCCTTCAGACCCCACTATTCGTATTTCCCTCGAGGAAGAGCAGCCGATTGGGAATCCTGTCTTCACATTTTCTGCATCTGATCCAGACTCTGGCATCTCACACTTTGAGATCTCCAATAATTCTGTGGGTGGAGGGTACTTTGATGTTGACCCCTTTTCAGGTGAGTTGGTCTATGTACTTGTACTGGTCCAGTTTATATCAATTCAGTTCTATTGCTTCCTTTGTTGTCGCATTGTGTTTTTCAGACACTCTGTGGAAAATATTGCAGAATCCCAAATATTAAAATTCAGGGGATGGAATTTGATTTTTATCAACAAATATGATTTCCTATTGTCTCAGACTTCCAGAAGAGAATCTATATCTCAGTATAGATTTAGCACAGCATGCACCTCTATGATGATATTATAGACATGATTTTAAGCAGGCCTGAACCTGAGAAAAAGTTAACCCTGAGAAAAAGCATTTCCTTCTTAATAGCTAAAAAGTAACAAAAAATGTAACTGAAGGGAACATGAAGTGAAACTGGAGTCTGGGATATTTCAGGTGATTGAAAGTGAGCTTTCTTTCATGTTCCAGGTGTCCTGACAGTAAAGCAGAGGTTGGATTATGAGAAGATGAAATTCATCAACTTCACCATGAATGTGTTTGACTCAGGCATACCACAGTTCTCATCCTCTGCTCAAGTTTTTGTTTCACTCATTAATGTGAATGATGAACCTCCCATGTTCCAACAAGTGAGTGGCTTATGAGATAAGTGGAGATGTTCCATGTAATGGTATGAGTTAGCACATGCTGATGTTGGCTTGGCTACTTGACTACTGATGATTTGATGTTCATCTCTTTGTGAATTGATAAGATCATTCTGGGATTTTTCTGCTTTGCAGTCACCATACTATGCAGAAGTAATGGAGAATGCAGGGAGAAGCACCCCAGTCACTGTGATTTCTGCTGTTGATGCTGATGAAGGAGAATTTGGTGAATTTACATTTTCACTCACTGGTGAGTTCCTGAATCCTTTAGATGCTGTTAAGGTGAGGTTGGATTTGTTGTACTTGCTAATCCTTTTTGTGTGCTTAATGAGGTATCCCAGGAGTGTGATGTCCTTTCCTTTGTTATCATTGGAGTTTTTTATGCCTATGATTCTCAGTTAATGTGCCATTAACCCCTTATCTGTTGCACTCACATATACTCTTGTGAACATTGCTGTGCTCTGTTCTCATCCACATAATTTAGTATTGTAAATAGTCTCAGCTCATATCATGATAAAAATTTAATGGTTTATGAACATTTGATTGACATTAAATAGTCTTCTATTGTGGGAACAAATACTTCACAGAGACAGAAACCCCCCCTCCCCCAGAACATTAGGGGTTCAGAGTACAGTACTTTAAAACTTGGCAGTTGAAAGGTCCATGGGTCCTGATATGATTTCAAGCAGCTGCAGGATTTTTATGTCTCAGAATTTCGTATTTATATTGTGGACATCATCTGCTGTGATGTTTTGTGAATTTTCTGTTTAGAGGCAAAAATGTTTTCATTTTTATTTCCCATTAGTTGCCATTGATTCCTGCATGTATAACTTCATTTCCATTGCGTGTCACCATCCACTTGAGGGAGGGGAAGGGGGTGTTTGTATCCATGCCATTTATCATTACACTGTGTACTTTCCTATAGATTTCCTATGCCTGTTCTTGAGATCTTTGTATATATCCAGTGCAAGATAGAATAGCTGAAGGCTCTGAAACAAGTGAAACAACCAGACTTGTCAAGGTCAAGTCTTGCCTTATTCACACATTCAGTGGAGATGTACCCAGTTGTTTAACTGCAAAGTATAAGAAACCCAAGATATGACATTGAGGGCATCAATCTTGGGGATGAGGCTGCTGGTCATGGGCAATCAGATAAATATTTTCCTGTGTACTGTATTTGGATAAAGAGGAGTCAGTTCTTTCAAAAAATTGTTCCCAAAGAAGGGAAACACCATATCAATAGAATGTAGTTGGCTGATCTGCACATCCCTTTAATTTTTTTGCAAACCTCTGCCCAAATTGACTGGAAAAATCCATTGCAGGTTATCAAATCAGGTAATTACTTGATGTTATACTTAGTAAATTTCCAATAGGATCAAGATTCCATCTAAGTTGTTGCTTCTGCTTTCCTTGGTTTTTGCTATGAGGTGTTAGGATCACAGAATTTGTGTTAATGTGTGTATTTTAATTCTTTATCTTTCAGGAGACCATGCAGAGGATTTTGCCATTGATGAACGTGGGACATTGACAGTTGTGAATTCGAATCTCCTTGATCGAGAAAGCACACCAGTAGTGGCAGTTACCGTCATGGCTTTTGATGGCCTACATTCTTCCACAGTCCCTGTAGGTTCATGCTTGATGCCTTCTTTGAACTGCAATGTTTTGAAAGCAAAGAAAGAAAGTGATGTTATATTGTGACTGTTCTCCTCTGCAAAGGTGTATGTAGAGATCCTGGATGAGAATGATAACCCACCAAAATTTCAAGAAAAGGAATATACAGCCACAGTGGGTGATTCCTTGTCTTGGGATCCCCCATCTCCAATATTGCAAGTGTCAGCCACTGACCCTGATTTCGGGCTCCATTCTGCTCTTTTATACTCAATTGTTTCTGGGAATGTTGAAAGTGAGTGAGACGTTGTTGTTGTCCTTGGAATGCTTTTTGATAGCTTGTGATGCATTGTTCTTGATGTATTTCTGCAGATGCATTTCGCCTGGATGCACAGAGAGGAGTGCTATATGCAACCCGATCCCTTGCAAATCTTCCTTCTAAATATGAGCTGAAGATCCGTGTTCGTGATGAAAATGGGACTGGGCCATTCTACGATGAAGCACGGATATCCTTGGAGATACAGAAGACCAATCGACATGCTCCAAGATTCCTAACGCCATCTCCTGATGAAGTTGTGACATCTATACCTGAGGTAAACAATTTTGACTCCCTGCAACAAGAGACACTAATTACCTATGCAGAATATATTGTACATGGTATGTCAAAAAAAAGACCAATCACTTTTGACCTAAATATCCCTGCTCACACTGCAGCTATTTTCATCAAACTTCCATGTTGCATATATGAGTATGTTTCCAACAGATTCACAGTCATCCAAATTTGTTGAGCCAATGCAATACTATCTGCATTTATTGAAAAGAAGTTAGACTTTCAGAATGGACTTGAGTTCCTGCTGGTAGTGGAGTGGAGGAAGTACTCAGACACTCTTTCCTGGTCATCAAAAGCACATCCACTTCCTCTTCCATAAATTCATTCCTTGGGCTGGTTGTCTCTTGCAGATGGCTTTCACGAACTTATTCTTGATGAATAAGAAATTAATCAATGAATATCAATTCTGAGAGTTTTTTCAAAGTTAGCTGCATTTAGTGATATGTTTGGAGCACTTCTTTTGAAATTCTATGGGGATTTGTCCCATGAATTTATTGATTATTTAAAATAAATTGGAAATGGACTGCTTTTCAATTGGCAAGACTCTGCATATGTACCCACTGCATAATGGCTCTTCATCCCCTCACCTCCCTGCAGGAGCCTGTTTGTTTTAATATTCAACTTGGAATAATTACTCATGGCCTTTGGCATGGTGAATTTAAGCAAAATGTCACAAGTGTTATGCACAAAAATTGGCTCATGCAGAGTGCAAGTTTAAGTTCTTTAAATAGTAGTAAGAGCACTGATTTTTTTGAGTTAGGTGTTTTTTTTTGCCATACCTTGTTGGAGTCATGAATTCAGAGGTATTGGTCCTCCTATTGCACCATCAATGAGGTGCTCATCATTTCTCCTTCATATGATTGCTGGGATAGCCTATTTATGATGATGCAGTGAATGAATGATTCATCTTACAGTTGGATGTTTGGCATATAGTTGTAAAATGGTTGTCAGGGTTCACGTTATCACATTATAATGAGTCCCTAACTCGTATTTTCTTGGAGGGACTCATATTTGTAAAACATCCAAGTCTGTGGGACTCATTGACAACCACCTGAACATGTTCCCACTGAGCTGAAGCTAGGTGCCAGGACTCAAGATTTGAAAAAGCTAGTGTGAACCCTGGTAGTTGTTGAACGTTGGAAAAACTGATGTTTTTGAGTAATGTGCTCACTCAAATGTTTATTATTTATTTGCACATTGAGTAGTGTGTGCTAGTCAATGCAAGTGATGGCCTCTCTCTCTTTCTTCCTCTCCATTTGACCTGTGCTTGAGCAACTGTTAATGTTATGGTAACTTGTCATCTAGAATGGATGTAAGTGAGAGCATAAGAGAGAGCACATCTGTCTATGGACTGAAGAATTTTCCCTCAATCAATCAGTCTATTTGTTGCAATTTGAGTTGATGAAAGTTTGCCCTTGGAAGCTACTTGACCAGCATGAAATTCTTTGTTTCAAATTTGTTTCATGCGACAAAAATGCATAAATGTAGAAAGTGAGGATGAAAAGGGAATTTCTTCATTTTATTTATCTTATTAATCTTTGAACATTCAGCACAAATAACATATTTTTGGCTGAACACTAAAAAAACCTGGTGTTTGCTCAAGCTTCCTAGTATTGTAAAGGCAAGAAATATCAACAGGACCTGGTTGAAAAAGTGATAAGTTGTATTAATTTCTTTTTCAGAATCAAGAAGCAGGGAAGTTGATTATGCAGCTTCGTGCAGAGGACAGGGATTCAGGCAGTAATGGGGAAGTGAGGTACCATTTAAAAGTGAATGAAACAAATGTGCAAGAGACTCCTGAATTCTCTCTGGATGCTGAGAATGGTGAACTTCGCAGCAGAAGAGCTTTGGATCGAGAAGAGAGAGCTGCATATGAAGTACTGAACTAGTATTGACTAGAAATATGTGTTGTTTGAAGAAAAAAAGTTCTTATTGTATGTTTTGTTCTTGATAGTTGGTACTTGTGGCTCGAGACAATGGGAGTCCACTTGCATTGGAGGCTCTACATCCACTGATGGTCAAAGTCGAGGATCTCAATGACAATGCTCCAAAGTTCATTTCAGATGAACCCCTGGTTTTCACACTAGATGAGAATGCACCTGCTGGAACATCCATTGGTATGCTTCTTACTAGAGATGAGCTGAATCTGTTCCAGAAATGAAACTCTAAATATGATTTTATAATTCAAAAGTATATCCTGGAAAGTGAGATGTGGACCTAACTTGAGTCTTTTTCTTTTCATATTTTATCCCTTCAATTCTTCCCTTCTTTACTTTGCCCATTGTGTAATTACTGCATTTGCAGTAGTTTGCCATGATGTGAGAAGGAAGCCAGAGGGTCTAAGCCCAGATTTAAGGGAGGGCATTAGAAAAGTATGTGTTGAGGGCTGAATCACAGACTCTGACAGTTTCAATTTTTTTTAAATGTAAATGGCTCATTTGAAATTTATTCCTGTGTCTCTATATTCTCTGGATTGGGTTTTGCACTGATTTCTTCCTTGCATTGGAGTTTAGATTTTGACACCAAGCTCACACTTATCAAGGCTTGATGTGCTTGAATGAAAACCTGACTCTTCTTCACTCATTACTCTGTTTTCTATTACTGTGCTATATTCCTTGGAATGGATAGAGAACTGATCTGGAATTATTCAACACAATTGCTTCTCATGGAATGGAGAAGTAGGACTGGGAAACATTACTGTTGTAAAAGCTACCTATATGTGTCACCTGGCAACCATGTCTGACTAATTTATTGACCTTTGATACCTCTTCCATAAATTTCTATATTACAATAATTGGATCTTAGAGAAATGCTAACACAACAGAAAGGAAGCCCAACCCTTTTCGAAGATCCATGCATAGCAGCTCTTCATTTTTCTCAAGAGCTTCAATTCTTTTGTAAGTATGGCTTTAGATAGATTCGAGGATGAAGGCTTTTGTGAGTACTTGATATGCAACCCTAGTAAAGCATAACATTCATGTAAACATTGCAGGTGCCAAAAAAATGCCTTGCTCTTTAATCTTGTAGCAGACTGTCCCAATTTTTTAAATCAGGGGGACGTTTCTTCAGCACCATTTGTAAAAATTGGAAAAGAGGTCAGTAGGCAATACCTAAATCAGATTCAGAAAGCCAAAACAATACAAAACTGATCTATGGAGTCTCACACTTAAGCTCGTGACAGTGAGCAAGTGACAATGTAGCTTTCTATGCCAACTGTATGTGCTTCGATCTTAATTTTTTAACTTTAGTTTGATCTGTGTGCGTGTTCTTTCATTATGTGATAACTTCATGACTACTTCTATTATTAGGGGAAGTAAAAGCTGAGGACAAAGACATAGGAGCTAATGCCAGAATCTTCTACAAGATCCTTGAGGGAAATGAGGGTGGAGAGTTCAGTGTAGATGAAGTGAATGGTGTCCTCAGATCCCAGAAAGTCTTGGATCGAGAAGAAAGACCATCCTACCACCTCATCATTGGGGCTTCCAATTCCCGCACCTTTGACCCTCAGGTTCCCCTTGCTTTAATCCCTCCTGAAGGTGTTTATAATGTCCCAAACTGCAACTGAGTTGTATCCTTGTAGAGATCAGAGTTAGAAGAAAAAGGGAGTAGTATCAGCACTCAGGAAGTGGTGGTGAGGCTTCATGATTGCAATGATAATGCTCCTCAATTCCCTCTACAGGTTAACTTTGCTGGTAAGATCACCTACAACTCTTGAAGCTTCTTTAAAAGTTTAGTTCTGAAAACAGCTTGCTTACTGTGTTATTTTGTTGCTCTAGTGATTCCATGGGATGCAGGGGTTGGATACTCCTTTATCCAAGTGAAAGCTATTGATCCTGATAAGGGAGAGAACTCTTCCTTGGTCTACAATATTCAAGCCTCCTTGCTGCATGCTATCCATTCTAATGACTCCTTGGGTAAGACCTCATTATAATAGAATACGAGTATTTGTATATTTATCAGAAAAAATACAAGGCCCATGATGGGCTACAGTGTATTAATTCTTTCTCTGTTGATCAATATCAAGCCTCTGGTAATGTGTATGAAAAATTAGATACCACTTTTAGATTTGCCAAAAAATGTGCTATGACCTGTAGTGTGTTCGGCAGACTTGGTGTCTTGTGTAAATTTTGGAAATGTGCTTTTCATTATTGAGCTTTATTTTTAGTAAACTCAAAGTAAAGGAGTCTAAAAAAAAAACAAATTTTCTCTCAAGAAGGCTACTGAATTATTGATTTCAAATAATGTGGAGGGACAAATTCCAAGAATGTAGAGAAAAACTGAAGGCAGAGTTTCATATGTCATGTGTAAACATTCCCAAATCCTCAAGTTGGTTCATTCTCTTGTAGGTAATGGGACAGTATCATCTTTGCAATGATGCCCTCTTGTAGGAATAGTAATAGCCTATATGACCTCCTTTGGCAGGATCCGTAGTCCCATCTCCATTCAAGATTGAAGATGATGGAACATTAAGGACAAAAATCCTATTGACAGAATATAGAGGAGATTGGTTCACCCTTGAAATTAGTGCCACAGAAGCTGCTCATCCATTTCGTCAGGCCCGAACATCTATAGAGGTATATCTCCCACATGTGTTGTTTTGCTTCCAGTGCTATACTTTATTCCCAGCCAAGTGCATTTCAGGGTTCTCATCTTTCCTCCAGGTTTACCTGTACAGAGAAGAGGACACCATCCGCCTTGTGTTGCAGGAGCCTGCAGAGACAGTTCATGCAAACAAAGATGAGATTCTTAAGGAACTGTCAGACATTGCTGGATTTCAGCTGGTGTTTGCAAATCTCCGTTATCATGTTGACCAGGAAAATAACATACACAAAAACTGGTCAGTATGGTTTTTTGGGAAATGTGTGTGTAAGGTAGTTAACTAAAATTTTGCTTTATTCTTTCTTTAATCAAGACATATATTCCTGATATTGCGCAAAATTTATTAATCATTCTATAGCTTTTCCTAAATTTTTAGGTAGTAATATCATCTTAGTGCCCTCTTCACATGAATGAGGATTTTGAGACTTCTGCAAGGGAAAGTTATATTCATGTGGGGGGAGAAACACAGGAGGCCAAAGGCTAATATGCTTCAGTGATACATATTTTGTTTTACTATCAGAAAGGTTTATCTCCCAAGCATAGGGCTCTCCTCTCATGATATTTTCACATGGGAATGCACATATGTATTGGATTGTTATTATTTCAAATTCATTTTCAGGACTGACATGTATGTGGTTGGAGTGAATCGGAAGGAACGTTCTCTTGCTCCTGTTCAAAAAATTCTGAATCCCATTGACAATCACTATGATCACCTCCATGCTTACTATGAAAATTTTCACATAACAAGCATCCAGGTCAGTGAGACATGTCTTTTTTATCTGTTCATGTGTAGTAGGAGTCAGAGAAATGATATTCAGGTTGTTCCAATTGTAAGTTACTGTTCAAGAACAATCTTCATTCCTCATTGAGTTATATTGGTCTTTTCTCATCTGTTCATCCTATTCTTGGGGGTCTGTGAAAATGGGGACTACATCTAGATGATAATTCCAGTGTCATGCTGCATTGACCAGTCAGGAGAGAACTGTAGGCCTGCATGTATTACCTCATGAGTCATCCTGACAGAGTGTAAGCAATGACGATTCCTAACTTTCTTCATCTGGTGACTGGATGTGCCACTCATCAATCTATCCTTAATATGAATATATATAAAAGGATATTAACATAACCCCTCAGTATGACAAGTAATGACTGTATTTTGTTAAAAGAAAGTTTGTAAAGACTTTTTTGAGGAATCATGGGAAGATGCTGTGGAATTCTGCATGGATTCCTGAGAGTCTGGTTGGTGACCCAAAACCTATTTTGCTTGCATGTGACCCTCTATCAGCTTGGTCGTTTGTTTAAGGTTCATATTGCAAATGGGTGGAAGAACTTGGATCTGGTCACAGCTTTATTGGTTTTGTTGTGTCCAGGGCTGGAGTGGAAGTAGGCCTATTTTAAAAATCACTTCCTGATTCTTTCAGCTTTGCAATTGGAAGGTCTTGATGGAGCAAATGGATGATGGTTGTCTCCTTCACAATATCATCCTGTACCCATTCCCAATACATTTGGAGATGCATCATCATTTCTCTCTTCTCTGGTGATGGGCTTCCCTGTCTGCACTTTTTCTTCTTCTATTGATTTTTCTTGGGGATTGAATCAAATTGGTATGTTACTCCCAGTACCAATATACAGTGAAATCTGTGGATTCGGCCACCTCCATTTGTGGCCAAAAATGCTCAGTCCCAATCGTTAGCTCCATAGGCTCAATGTTAAAATAACCTGTTTCATCCAGCCACCTGTCAAATGCAGCAAACAGTCAAGGATATGCAGACCCTCTGTGCTGGCCACTCTTTAATCCGACCAGAACACCGAAAGGAAGATTGCCGGTTGATTTTCTTCCTCTTCATTTCCCTGCCTTCTAGTCTCCCACCATTCCTCCCTCTCACTTCCCTTTCCACACCCCCTCCCTAATCCTCAAATTGATCTGTTGCCTGGTTGTCAAGATCACATCTTCGGAGTCTCAATAGTGTGAAAACGAGCATCAGAGTGTTGACCTAGTTCTTCCATGCATTTTACTACCTTTCTTTAAGACCATTGAGTGCCATGGAGAAGCTCAAGTGCCATTTGGCAGAGAAGGGGATGGATGCAAGAGTCAGTTGACATTATCACAAAGCTCAAAGCGTCTCTGCAGGAGCGAGTGTGCTTACACCAAGTGCTTACATTTCAAACAAACATTAAAGAGCTCCTGACAATGAAATCAGGGTCTTCAAATATCTCTCGATGTACATATAATAAATAAAACCGAACAAAATCAGACTATGGTACCTTTGGAGGATACATTGTGTTTAATTTTCTTGGAAAACTGACTGGCAAGTACCTCTAAGTTTGCCTGGAGGAAAAACTGGAAAAATTCTCCTTTTATACCGGCCACTTGTCAGAACCGACCAAATTTAAAAAGTCTCCTTGTGGCTGTATTACACAAGTTTCACTGTAGTGTCCCTGTAGCAATCCAAAAGTATTTTTAAATGTTCATGGTGGTTTATCTAGCCAAATGAGAAAGAGTGTGATTGTAGAGAATTTCCACAGGGGTTTTAGGTTAATCAGTCTAAAATGTGGCCTATCCTCTCTTATCTGGCACATGTCCATATTGACAACCTTCCAAACTGGGATACCACTGGCATGTCTCCTTTTTTCTGCATCATATCTCCTTGTCAAGTCAGACAGCTGAATGGAAGTCATCTCCTTGATCACAATAGGTCAGATCAGAAACCTGACCCTTTCTCATTTGATTGGATGAACTGTATTAAGTATTTCAGGGATTTGGCTTGAAAATTACCATTTGGTGTCTGGTATTTTTATTTTCCTACTTCATGAAGTGGATATGGTTGGAAGCATGAACTTCCTTTTTGCAAAGACAAAAAAAATGAAAGTAGGACTGACTTCTAAAAAATTTTTATTGATCCCATTGCATGCTTCACTCTTTAGAATGTGAATATTTTTAACTTCACGACACATTCCCAACTGGTTCTTGATAGTGAGAATATGGTTTTTAGATTTATTTGGTATTTTACCTTGATGTAATTGCATCATGAGCTTCTTTGAACAGTGTAAACATTAATGCTAAGTCTATGCACTATTTAAATGTAGTTTCTGGGATATGGAGTTATCCTCAATATACTTATTTCTGTGTGGAGGTTGAAGGGTTAACTCATGAGGAAGATAATGATAACCTGCCCAGCTTCCTCAGCCAATAGCTAATAACACCACTAATCATAACCCCTTCCAGTATAACCAGTAAAATATTATTATTGCATCTTTAGTTGCTGGCAGGCTTGTTGACAAGCAGGATCTTTCCAAATCTTTTTCAGCAGTCTCAATTTTTGGACTGAACTTACTCTGTCTTCCTACATAAAGGTTGAGTGACACCAAGTTGCATTTACGGATGAGGATCTCTCCTGGATCTGCTTTGACTTTTCTATTATACATCTTGCATCTTCGAAATCCTTTTGCTGTTGCTGACCTGAAGTCAGTGAAATTTTTTAGGATGAAGAGGAAGGACATTGAGGATTAAGTTAAATTGATTTAAGGTTTGTTATTTATGGACACCATTGTATTGTATATATCATTTGTTTGATCATCATACATCTCCTACCATAATTACATATACCATTCCATAAGACAGAGGAATCAAGCTCCTAAAATTTTGGGAGGAAATGGTTGAGTCCCCAGACCTTTCTATAACCTCCAATGATCATGGAGTATGTTGTACCTCCCATTGTTGACATTGTAACTATGAAGCAATTTTGAATGCCATTCTAGCCGGTGGTGAAGCCTCTGTTGCTAGAAGGAGAATTTGATCCCTTAGTTGGGGTCCTCATTGCTCTTCTGGTCGTTCTGATTGTTGGGATCACATCTGCCTGCGCAGTGTTCTCTTGTCTACGTCACTGGTGAGTCATGAATTCTCTTTTGCCCCACCAGAGGTGCCATCTTCACCAGGCTGAGAATACTTTTTTGAGTTTCTTTTGGGTGCTTGTAGTTTTTATTATTCCCTACTTTTGTCTCAGGGTTCCAAGTGGGAAAACAAATATCCAAGAACCATTGATTCGAGATCGAGAGAGACCCTTGGATCCATTGTCAAAGACTGAGAACCCATTGTGGTTAGAAGGGCGTGCGAGGAGTCCTCCGTTACCTGGTCCTTATGAAGAACAGGAGCTTACCATGAGTGTGAATGAAACACCACCTAATGAGGAGAGAATTTCACAGCAGGTGATAGGCTATCTCTCTCCATCTTGACTGCAAACAGATTTGCAGATGGACTGTATCTATTAAACTAGTGTGATTTCATTCCTCTCCAGGGTGACGCAACAAGTCATGCATATGCCACGATCCAGAAACCAACACGGACCAAGATGATTCCAAGAGAGCTTGAGGGGGAATATGCAACCATCAGGCTTCCATCTGGGCCTGTCATCCCTGGCTTGGGTTACCCCCATCTTGACACCATCGACCTGGCAAGTTTTCTTCTTTGTCCTCTTGTCAGTCAGTTTAGGAGTGATTGAACTCAATGAACTCGTGCTTGTCCTGTTTCCCAGGGCCCAGAATACCAGGAAATGCCCTCTGGATTCTCAGGCGGTCCCGATTCATACTCAGAATCTCTCAACTATTCACCTGAAGGATGTCCCACCCTCACTGCTGAGCTTCTTTAACATGACTTCATCCTCACTCTTTAGGCATTCTTCCCATTTGATATGGGATTTTTCTTTTTTAATTTTTTATTATTTTATGTTTGGGCAGCTATGAATATTGACTGGGATGGATATGGATGTAGTAAAGGTTGTCTGTTTTTCATCTGCAGCTTTTGTTGAATGAAAAGTTATGATGGGGAGTTGTAAATAGTCATTGAGACTGACATCAAAGATGAGGGTGATTCAAACAGCTTATTGGTCTCCTCAGCACTTTTTCCTTTGGAACATCAAATGATGATATTTTATGGCATCAAATTCTCACTAAATCTGCAGCGAAATACAAACGTTCACAATTTGGCAATTTTCTTAAGAGTAGGAAAATTTCACCTTATGTGAAATGATGGATTGGGGGAGTCCAGGGTCACCTTCACAATTACAGTAATGTCTCTCTGGTCGTAGGTAATTCGGGGCAGGAGTTCTTAGCACCTTAATAATTAATGGAGTTGTATTAGACTTAAGCTTAATCTGGAATTATTTACTGGCTGGACCGAAAAAAAATTGTATGGCGCTTCAATAATTTCTTCACAAGAAGATAAATCTAGAATTTGTGGACAAACATTGGATCTTAAGACACCAACTCCTTGCCAAAGTCAATGGGAATAATTTCAACAGCATTGCTTTCCTTATTTTAAACTGCAGCTGGCAAACCTGACTACTCTGGTCTTGTTGGAAAAATCGCCGGTTAAAATATAGATAGTATCCCACCTTTTGGATGATCTTCGCTTGGAAATTCAGAGATTCTGGAAGATGGTGTTCCTGTCATGTATTCCCCAAACTGCACGATTCCCAGAATGTTATTCTAACCGGTTCCATGGTCACAGTAGTGGCATCACGTAATTGGACGTTTTCCCTGGCAACGGATATGCATACCGGCGAGATGTTGTCTCGTACCCAAAATGATGCCACTGAACAGCTTTGACTCACAGCTGAGGAAGATTTAGGACCCTCTTTTCTGGAATATCAGCTTCGGAATCAATGGAATCTGCAAGTGAAGAGGCATCCAAAAAGTAAAATGGGCTCTTCCAACGCATTTTGGACCTATTTGGATGTATTTCACATTTGGCATATACTGTATTGCCAAATTTGACCGTAGAGATAATTTTCTCTCAGTGACTGCCAGGTACTCAGAGTATTCAAATGCACGATGAAGGAAGGTGTTGCGTTGTTCTTTAGTGAACTCAAGCTTTCTCTTCCTGTTGAGAGCCATGCTTGGATTTTTCGTGGTATTTTTTACTAGGGCAATTTCTTTAGTAAGAAAGGCCGTTTCTACTGGGTGAGGCTGGGCATGATCGAAATCGGAGTGCCACGACATTTTGACACTACGCAAAATCTCATCATGGCAAAAACACCGAGGGCCATTAATTGGCATCGAGTCTCACAGAAAAAAAAAATCAGATCTCGTACGATCATATTTGATCTGGCGCTGGGTGTGGCGTTCCATCGAATACGAGGGCGATTCAATTGTAATGTGCAATTAATTTGTTTTTGCAATGCATGTAACGTTTTTTTTCGAACGATTCTCAACATGCCACCTTGGAGAAAAAGCTGTCCCCTTCAGTACGGTAACGCTGCAAACGTGTGAAACGAAGATTCATGTGGACATTTTCTGGTCCTCTGTCAGGCACTTCGATATCCTCTCGACATTCGTCACGAAAAAATTACTGCATGCAATTTTGTGCCCAGACCCATAGCTACACTCCCACTGCCATGAGGGAGTTTTGCTTGCCAGTTCGTGAGAGGACGGGAAAATTGTAGAAACGATATCACTTACTTCGCGTCGCTTCCTGTTTTAAAAGGCGCTAGTGAGGCATCAAAGTCTGGAAGGGGCTCGTCCCGCGATATTTGAGGGAACGTGATCCCGATGCAAAGATTCGTCTATCAGGAACGACTTGACTGACGCAACCTCCAGTTCGTTATTCGTTTTAAATCAGTTCTCGGTTGGTGCAGCTACGGTGGATCATTAACTCTGTGCTTGCTGAAGCTGGTGCCCAATCTTCTCATCTAATCTAAAATAATCGCATGTTTCGCATGGTCATGGAAACTTTTGCAGTGAAACAGGAATTCTCACTGTTTTAAGATTAATTCGAATCCCTTAAGTAATGGTGAGCGGAGAGAGCACTATATCCAGACCTACGAAATCACGTTTGTGGAAAACCTTACAACCTGCTAATCTATGGAAGCGTTCTTACGGGGGAAGGGGGTTCGAATTCAATCCGAAAACGGTGTAAGATCCAAGATCGAAGGATGAGCTTCACAAGTTTGAAAAGACAACCCATGCAAGCCCACGACGTCTGCCGCATCTTCGATTCGTCTTCGACAGAACGAAAACGGGAATGCCCATCGCCGAATCTCAGCGAAAAACCTCGAAACATTCCTCATGCAAGCCAATCTAACTGTAGTTGTTAAAAATGAGTGAAAATACATTCCATTTGGATATCGGGGGATTTGGAAGCTGACCAGACCACAACATAACTGTGCATCATCGAGTCGAAGTTGCCCGACGTCGGTTGTTGCCCTTCCGCGCTGAGATAAGTGGAAGTCGCTTGCAGCTCTTCAACGCGTGGTCAAAATCTCCATCGAAAATCTACTCGACGCTTAGTGATACGTCCACGTACAACAGGTAACCGAACCACTCGATTGGCTCGACCGCGTGCTCACGCAAAGACGATACATCCAACACGCAAAATTTTACTTCTTTTGAATGCTCTTCTCTGAGACAAGCATGTCCCGCCACATAGCCTATACAACAACCATTCTGCGATGGATACTGGTTTTGTGCCTTCTGCGCACGAAAACTGACATCTTTTATGTTCCTTGGACGCATCTTCGATGTTGGTGGAGGACTTGGTTACTGTACACAATCCTTGCGGGCAGTGATGCTAGTTTGCATTCTCAACGTCATTCCAGTGCACCAACAATTTGCATATGGTGTAAGAATGATGAAAAGTTCCTACGATTTTTAGTGCGAGTTTTGCTATCTTCGGTTGACTTGCCCTAGTAGCAAGAAAAATGCGAACATCTTTTCAAGATTCAAGATAGTTAGTGACATCAAGAGGCGATTTCGCCCATTTCGATATCACGTGTCGAGGTCGAGCGTTCCTTAATTTATGGTAGGCGACCTGCAAAGATTCGCAGAAACCCGAAGCTCTGACGTGAACGGAAAAATCGGGACGCACATGTAGGGTTGAATTTTGTGGGATCGAAAATACTGTCCAAAATCACGTGATCTAGAAATATGCANGAAAGCATCCAGTTTCTTCTTAAAGATAGTCACAGAAGGGGCAGCCACTACTTCGTCATCTACATCTACAACATCTCATAAAAAGAAAAAGAAAAGTGCCGGATCGAAAGATGCAGTGTCTGACGCAGAGTTTAAATACGCAGCAGCATGAAAACGCCTGAGGGTCGAAAACACCAAATTAATATAGGCCCTGGAATTAAGCGACATCTGTTGGCTCTATCTCCAGCAATTGCTCGTTTCGTAGATGCATAGATGCAGTCTGCTGTTTGCGTAACTCTTTTCAGTGGAGATTAATTTCTCTTTCTCGTCGTTCCCCTGTGCTAATTATCGCAATAATTTTTTCGTAGAGTTTTAGAAGAAAACGAAACTCGATTCCATCAAAGGTGTTTCCAGAGATTTTTTCACTCTGTCAACCGAGTGGGAAATCCGCCAATTTGCCCAATGTTATTCGGAATTGCCGCTCATGGGAGATAGAGGTAACCCATGCCTGCCTGGGATGGGAATAATAGAGACAACTGAGAGAGCCCATTCCCATTAAGGGCGCAGGTTCATTAAGATACAATGCAATGGTCTCATCATGTCTCTCGCGATACGTCGAAAATAGGTTCATCTCGCAAACAATTCACTCCGGCGCGGACGGGGAAACACTTCACCAAGATATTGCATTACAATAGAAAGAGACTTACGGATTGCACTTGACATTAGCCTATAGCACTCCCTTCTGGGATAGGAGGGAGAAGTAATAGTTTTGCCAAAATCACCCTGTCTTGGCTTGCCAAAGGATATACTAAGTTTCTTCGAACGAGAGTTCCTGTCCTCGCTATGAATCCCTGCCTGGTACAGGTCGAGGTCTCCCGGGGGGGGGGGGGGGGGGGGGGGGGGGGGGGGGGGGGGGGGGGGGTCTCGTGGAGGTCGATTGGAATACGGTTTCGCATGGACTTAGAGCCGATCCTGCCTGGCGACTCAAGTGTGGGATGCCAACGGGCAGTTTTTGAGGAGGCGGCGTTTGGTCCCGTGTTTTTATCTACTAGTCTACTGATTTTTATCCTGCGTGTTTTATATATATATATATATTTTTTTTTTGCGCTGCGTGATTTCGATACTGCATATTTCTAGATCACGTGATTTTGGACAGTATTTTCGATCCCACAAAATTCGACCCTACATGTGCGTCCCGATTTTTCCGTTCACGTCAGAGCTTCGGGTTTCTGCGAATCTTTGCAGGTCGCCTACCATAAATTTCTATCTACTATTTTATCTGCCTATCTCCGCTTCTGTAGATAGATTGCTCTCAGGGTGAAATTTTATCCAATCAAATTTCAGGTCTCTTCTTTTTACAGAATGTTTCGTACGAACGTTACAGCAAGGACTGTGTTTCTTCATTATTCACGGCATAGTGTTTTGCGAAGTGGGCTATCACATTTTTAACCTGCCGCCTATGCTTCTCAATGAAGCGTCCCTTGAACCTCTGGAGCGACATGGCGCGGGCTACATTCATTGCGTCGAGTCGACCATTACGGACTCGCGAATCGTTTTGTTCCGAGTGGCAGTCTTTCAAGCGGACGTGAACCTGCTCAATGTTGCTTCGTGCCGACGGCCTGTAGGCCTTACGAGTCGTGATCGCTTCGAGGAAAGCGTCGTCGGAGCACTCGACGGGTGAAGGGGGAGGTCGAGACCGATTCTCGACTCGAGAACCGAAGGGAGAATGGAGGACTCGCGTGACCTGGGCCTGCTTCTGCCTCCCCTTCGGGGTATTCGCCTTGCGGGCGTGTTCTGTCTCTCGTCTGGAGTTTTTTTTTTAAATATTGGGATTGGGTCGGGCTGTGTTTCTCGTGAGTTCGGCGTCTCGTTCCTGTTACGTG